ATTTATTTTTTGACATTTGTCATTTTTTTATGTCTATTTAATAATACTGATGACCTTGTATATGTTTTTTTATAATTATTTGATAAAGGTACAAAAATTTTGTCGATAAAAGCTACAAATAATATTAAACAGAGTTACAACTTAGGATACAGCTTCTTTGTTTCCTTTTCTAATAACCTGTAGCAAAAAAACGTGGAAAATTATTMATCCTACAGAAATAAATAAGAGTCAAAGTGCAAAATTTAAACTCTCATAACTTCGAAATTTTTATAGATAGAATTTTTTTAATTTTTTTTTTATGTTCCTGGTACCTTACCCTACATGGCATTTGTCTTTGGGGCGCGAGTTCTGGCGCACTCTGTATGTGCATATGATGTAGAACGTTACTCCTTCAACTTTTAAAATCGCGATATCTCAGGAATGGTGATTCTTGGAAAAAAAGTATAAAAACCATTTTGTAGATAATTTTAAGATCTATAATTTTCGTCTGAGCTACTTTTTTGATAAAACTTGCCGTTTTCGAAAAAAATCTAAAAAACGTCAAACATTGACCTTTGACCCCGAATAACTTTTTTAGCACACATGGGATCGATGGGGACTTTTGACACTTTATTTCTAATGGTATACCCAAGGTCTCCACCAAAATTTAGCTCTGTCGGAATTTTCGTTATTTGACCACTATTTTTATGACTAATTTGACCGGACTATTAGACCGCTCCGGGTACCAAAAATCGACCAAAATCTCGACAAAAATCAAAAAATTAAAAACTTCAAAATTGAACGATATACACTTCTAGGTATCCAAAACAGCATAAAACGTTATAATAATAATTCTAGTAAACAAGAAAAGTTCATAAAACGTTATTGGGACAAATACATTTTCTTAAGTTTTATAATAATCATTTAAAATTGGCGCTATTTTTAAAAAATTCTCATGTTACTTGATTTCCTACAGTTGTCACTTATCTTGCAAAAAATACACTGAGATCAAAATACAGTCTATCAAGCAAGCGTAGAAATTTAAAACGTATGTCTGTAGAAGATAAAGTGTCACAATGACAAATGACAAATGTCAAAATAATTTTTATGTAAATTATAACAGGAAACCGTAGTGAACGATTTTTATGAATAAACACCAACAAAATCTAATTTTAGGTTATTTTGAGACGTTTCATAGAATAATTCAATTTAATTAGAGCCAATGTTTTAATTTTTATAAAATAATTTTTTGACATCTAGATAACATACGAACTGCCATGCAACATACGTCCTCAACTAGGACGCCTGTAGAAAAGAGAAAACAAAAAAACAAAAAAAAATATATAAAAAAGGGCTACCTTGATCCAGATCCGGACCGATGTTGGTATATGCCTCGCCGCTTGTGCAATCACCGCCTTGGCCGTATCCTGGGGATTAATCCTCGCCGCCTCCAACCACAAATCCTCACTTTGGGGATTAACCTCACACCCTTTCATAATTAAATTCCTCGCTGCTTGCACCTTCCCTGTCACCTCCTCCAATCTCGCACTAGCAATCCACGCCGGGGGATGATTCGGATTCGTCTCCCTCACCGATTTAAGCAACAATCTCGCCTTCTTGATATCATTAATATCACCCCCATAGGTGGGAATCATTGATTGTAAATCGGTCAAATACCCCTTAGGGTCCACTACGGTTTGCCCCGTCACTGAATCGGACACTTGTGACAATTTAACATTCATGAGGGTGTTACGAGCTTGACCGATTTTACGCAAATCCATGTCTCCAGTCGGGGTGAGCATTCCGGGGGTGGCAACCCCCGGAACCATACTAGCTAGCCCCGAACTGGGGTCAATAGTGGTGGTGGATTCGCCCCCGAGATTCCGGGCGAGGACACTGTCGGGCAAAGGGGTGAATTTCTCAGCTCGGGGGTTGCGCTGTTTCCGGTTACGGGCGTCCCCCACGTCAGGGACGCTCCTCCACTCGTCCTCGGAGACATTCTGCAGGTCGCGTTTCAAGTCAGAGAATTGTTGCTGAATTTTTGGCCTAAAAATTTAATTAAACGATTTGCAAAATAATTTTTTTTTTCACCTTTCTTGTCGATATTTCTCCAACTCTTCCCTTAATCTTTTCTCCCTGTATTCCTTACGTTTCTCGTCCATTCTCTTATCAATCGCTTCGTAAATGGCATCAGCTTCAGCATCGTCCTTATCGTAGGGGTCTTTGGAGAAAAGTGAGCCCCCATACCCGCTAAACTCGTCGTAATTTGAGTCATTCAAATCTTCTTCTTCCTCTTTCTCCTCTTCTTCATCTTTCTTTTTTGTGCGTTTTGCCGCAGGTGGGGCATGTCGGTCGTCCCTAAAACCCCAGGATTTAACCCCAAAAAACACAATTTAACCAACTTACGAAACATCGTTAGCGTCCCTCGCTGGACCGATATCAGAACGTGTGGTGAACCCCGTAGCCCTAGAAAAACCACAATTAAGAAGGATTAAGACAGCCCCTTGACTCACCCTCGACCGACTCCTGCGACATAACCCAACGGTGCGGGCACTCCTAGGAAGTGTTTTTTGTTGCGGTTAACCAACGCCTGTGGGGGGGCTGCCATAACTGCCCCGAAAAACCACCAAAAACGCGAAATAAACAACAACTCTAACCTCAAATCGTACGTTGATCGGCGTTTTGACAGTCGACAGCAGTGTCAGTGTTGACAACAACTACAAGAATTTCACCAGATCTGGTGATTTTTTGTCAAAATTCTGACTTTTTGGAAATGAAAAAAAAAACTGTTTTTTCGGGCACTTCTTGATTATTTCGTCAATTTTTTTTAAAAAAACTTCAAAAACCACCAAATTGGTTAAAAATAGTTTTGTTTTTTGTTTTTTTTTACAAGACTTTGCTAGACAGGATCGAAAGTGACAATTTATTTTTGTCTTTTTCGAATACTTTTTCAGCTAAAAACGCAACTATTTCGGAGTTTTTTTTTTAATTTTTTTATAAATTTTTTATTTCGCAAAATCTTGTCTAAATACACTTAAAAATCAACAAAATAATTCATGATGATGTTATTTTGTTTGTTTCACTCGATTTAATTGATTTTTGTACTACAATCTCAGTTTTTATTGCGAGATTGGTTAAAAGGAGCTGAAAAATCAACAAATAAAGTCGAAAATTACAATAATTTTGCATTTTTTGAGCGTTTTACACGTTCTTCAAACGCAATTATTTCGCAAAATTTTGTTAAAAACAAGCCAAAAAACATTGAATTGAGCCGAAAATGTTTTTTTTTATTTTTCATAAATTCAAGCAGATTTTTAAGCTGAAGGCTCTGTTTTTTCGACAGCGTATCAAAAATCACTAGATTGTTATAGAAGTCTAAATGAATCTTTAATTTAAAGGCTGATTTACACAAATAGTCATTCAGAACAAATTTAATCACATAAATAATGAAAAAAAAAACAACATAATAATGTTTTCCTATGTTAATTACGTGCTACATGGGGTACACATTTATTTGAAAAAAAATTTTTTTATGGAAGATTGAGGTTAAGATTGCTTGAATTTTCGCATGGTTGCCACCTTAAAATGATCCCTTTCGACGACTACTTTGATGCAACTAAACAGAGTCGAAAGTGACAACTTATATTTGTTTTTTTCCAATGCTTTTCCACTAGAAACAATTATTTTGCAAAGTTTTGGCAAAAACAAGCTACAAATTCAACAAAATAGCCCAAAAACGGCGTTTTTTGTCTTTATTTGAAAGATAAAAACACAAAAAAACAGGCTAAAAAATTAGATAATTAAATCAAAAAGAAGTTCATTTATTTTGCAAAATTTTGTCCCAAACACGCCTAAAAATCCCCCAAAAAAAAAATTGATTGTTATTTTATTTGTCTCCCTCGATTTAACTGGTTATTAAGACAAAAATAGGCCGAGAAAACATAAAATTTGGCCGAAAATACACGTTTTTGTACTAAAATCTCAAGTTTTTCTCTAGATTTCGCTAGGACAAACTTAATAATCAAGAATTTAAATCTAAAATTACATTATTGTTGTATTTTTCGAGCGTTTTAGCACGTTTTTCAGCTAGAAACGCAATTACTTCGCAAAATTTTCTTAAAAACAAGATTTTAATTTTTTTTATCTGATGAAAATTTGTCAAATTTTTCACTCGTATTTGGTGAATTTAAGTTTTTGAACTGGCAACACTGCACTTAACCTCACTTTTTTCATTCTCACCAAATTTGAAATGTTTTCACGTTTTCTCATTTTCCTCACCTTTCAAATTCTTGTGGAAGGCACTCTGACGCCAAAGTCGCGCAAAGACAACAAATTCGTGAATATCAAAACGGGGCCCCAAAATGTGACTGTCTTTCACCGGAATTTGGTGACGGAAAGTGTCACCCCTCGGGAGATTTTGCAACATTATCAAGGGTATTTCCGGGAGGTTGACCACTACCAGTACGATGGTCTTGTGTTGGGTTATGTCACTCCTGTAGGTTTTTAACCCCTTACCATTTTTTTCTAAAGACAGTTTCAGTGGAACAACGAGGGGTACGACATTGCGAAAATCTTCGGTAACAAATTCACCCACATCAGCCCCGTTTGGTTGGAAATGAAAAAATCGGGAAAAAAATTTGACTTCAAGGGGGCCCACGATATTGATAAAAACTGGATGGCACATGTGAAAAACGCAGGACGGGAGAGGAAACTCAAAAGTATTTTTATACACCCTCCAGGGGGCGTTTTACTCAATTTAATTCAGTTGTTCCTAGAATTCTATTCAGTGGTTTGAACGAGAACCAAATGAACTCGTTATTTGACCCGAAAGAACTCAAATCCTTGATTAAAACACTGATAACCACCGCAAAATCGCACAATTTCGATGGTTACGTGCTCGAGCTTTGGCCCCAACTCCAGATGGACATGAATTACGACCCGTTGGTCAACCTTGTCAAAACCATCGGGGATTCCCTCGCTTTGGAATCCCTCGACACCATCCTGGTAATTCCCCCGAAACGGGGCCGCAATTTGCCCTTCTCTGAGGAGCATTTCAACGCATTGTACGACCACGTGACGGGGTTCTCCCTCATGACTTATGATTATTCCAATCCGAGACGGCCGGGCCCCAACGCCCCCTTGTCCTGGGTCGAAGACTGCGTCAAAACCGTGTGTTCGGACACCTCCAAACGGGGGAAAATCCTCACCGGGCTTAACTTCTACGGGAATCACTATTCCGAAGTTGGGGGGAAACCCCTCCTCGGACACGAATTTATACGAAAGTTGGAGGAGAAATTAAAAACAGCGAGGATGGTTTATGATCCACAAATCGGCGAACATTACGTCGAATACGAGTAATTTATTTAATTAATTTAAACAAAAATTATGTTTTTTTTGTAGGGAAACAAACGGGAAACATTTACTCTTCTACCCCACTTTGTATTCGCTCAATAAGAGAATTGAACTGTGCAAAAAACTAGGAACAGGGATTTCCATCTGGGAGTTGGGTCAAGGATTGCGATATTTTTACGATTTGTTTTGATTTTCTTAATAAATTCTTACAACTAAGCTGCTTCCACTTCAAAGTTTCGCATGCCCATCATGGATTGGGGCCCTTGGATCACTTTGTAGACCAAAGCCCAGTTTAGTTTCGCCGGAAGGAAGCTGAAAAATCGCATGGAAAACTGAATTTCCTGAATTTTATATCATTTTGTTCGTCTCAGTGAGACAAATCAAATGCACTAAAAAAATTTCAAAAAGTCCACACACTTTGAACTAATTAATTTTTTTCTAATTTAAATGAATTTAAAATACTTTAACTTTAAAAAATCATTACTCAATAACTATTACGCCGATTTCGTTTAAATAAAGACCATTCTAAAGGGATGGCCTTGCCCTTTAGGATGATATAAAATTTGAAATTAAATATTGCCAAAATTTTCTTCGAACAGTGTTCGAAGTAAACCGAAATAATCTAAGAAAAACCCTACGAGTATTTTTTTTTCATCATTACCATCGTGTAGAGCATCTCTTTATTAGTTGTAATCCAAATTTTCAAAAAAACATACCGAGTAGTTTTCAAGATATGATTTTTTGAAGTTAAGGTTTGCTAATCCAGGGGAGAAATGCATGTTAATCTTACTTAAAATTGCATTTTTATAAAAGTATTTGTTTTAAGACTCTTCTTTTGCTTAAAAATGGTCAATTGCTTCTTCTTTGTTCTAATTAGAATAAACAAAAACTGTTTGTTGAAATACGTCGAAAGTGAAGTAAGTTTGGCCTGTTTTAAACAGTTTTAATTTAAAAACAAAAAGCTCTCATTATGAAAGCCTAATTTATAGTTTCAAAATACCTATAAAACAGTAAAAAATGTAAAAAAAGTAATTTTTTATTTTATTTT